CCCCGGGCCACCCACGGGCCGTGGGCGGGTTTCGGGCAGCCACAAGGCGCGGGCTAATTTTACACTTCTATCAATGTGAATGTTAACATGTCAATGTGAATATTCACATTGTCAATGCGCCGGGCCGGGCCCACCCCGGTCCGCGAGCAGGCTTTTGGCCGCCTATGGGCCGCGGGCCAATTTTATACTCTTATCAATGTGAATGTTAACATGTCAATGTGAATATTCACATTGTCAACAGGCCGGACCGGGCCCGTCCCGGGCCGCGGGCGGGTTTTGCGCGGCCACGGAACGTGGGCCAATTTTTCACTCCTATTAATATGAATGTTAATATGTCAATGTGAATATTCACATTGTCAACGGGCCGGGCCCGTCCCGGCCCAACTCGAATTTTTCCTGGCACCCACGAGGATCGACATAGGCTAGGCCCCTACACATTGACGATATGAACATTCACATTGACGGTGTGAACATTCACATTAGGGGTATTTTGATAATTATGCCATCCATAGGATTGATTTAAACATAAGAAAATAATGTGAACTAAATAGAACATAAGTAGATGAAAAGGGTATTTTGGTCTTCTTATCTCAAATAGGACCTAATGGAATAGTCAAAAAGAATATGAGTTGGATGAAATAAAACTCTTTAAAAGTGAATTTATCAAAAAAGCTCCCATTCTTTTTCTCTGTCTATGAGTGTGTTCTCTTAGTAAAATGAGTCCATTTATGTAATTGTGATTTCTATTGTATATGTCTTCCTTGTAATTGAGATACACTGTATTGATTTTGTTTTGTTTTTTTTTTTTTTGATAGGCTTTGGGAGCGTTTGGTAAAATTTATGTTATTTTGTTTATATTTACAAAAATTTTATAAATTAGTTTTTATTTATTTTTAAAAAAATATAAACTACAAACATGTGTTTGGTAATTATTTAGCTTTTAATTTTCAGTTTATATTTACAAAAATTTTAAAAAGTCATAAAAATTTGTTTGCTAATTTTTTTAGTTTATAAATGGTTGTCGTAGTTTGTAAACTCAAAAAATGAGTTTACATTGGTTCTTAAACAGAAATTTAAAATTTTGACTAATAATTTTTTTTTTCAATTAATTTTTTTTCCAAATAATTTTGTTTTTTAATTAATTTTTTTTTCAAATAATTTTTTTTTCAATTAATTTCTTTTTCCAAATAATTTTTTTTTCAATTAATTTTTTTTTCAAATAATTTTTTTTTTCAATTAAATTTTTTTTCAAATAATTTTTTTCATTAAATTTTTTATTCAATTAATTTTTTTCAAATTATTTTTTTTTCAATTATAATGTGTATGATCTCATTGTCATAAATAATAAAAAGTAAATATGAATATTTTAGATCTGAACAAAGATATTTTTTAGTTTACGTTTTTACAAATTTTCAAACATTTTGTTCAAACTAAACGTGTTAGTAGTTTATGTTTTTCTAAAAATAAACAAAAAACAATTTATAAATTTTTTGTAAACATAAACAAAAAACGTAAATGTTACCAAATGCTACCGTTTGGTTTGAACAAAATGTTTGAAATTTTTTTAAAAAATAAACTAAAAAATATGTCTGTTCAGGCCTAAAATATTTGTATTTATTTTTTATTATTTATGACAATGGGATCCTACACATTATAATTGAAAAAAGAAATTAATTAAAAAAAACTGAAAAAAAATTATTTGAAAAAAAAAATTTGTTAGTCAAATTTTTAAAAATCTGTTTAAAACTAACGTAAATTCATTTTTTGAATTTACTTTTTTTTTCCTCAAATTTATAAACTGAGACAATCAATTATAAAACAAAAAAATTATCAAATAAGTTTTTATGATAATTTTTAAAATTTCTGTTAATATAAATTAAAAACTGAAAATGAAATAGTACCAAACAGGCCCTTAACTTTTTCTTTTTATTTTTATTTTTTGTGTTAAAAAGGTACGGACAACAAGTAGATATTATTATTATTTTTGTCATCATTTTATATCACTTAATATGTAAATATTAAAAAAAGGGAAATTACGAGAAAAAAAAAATTAGGGTTTGATCATTGTAACAAAATAAATCATAAATTTTTTATTTTAATTAACTAAATTATAAAATTTTGTTTTGTTTTCAATCTAAATTATTTATTTATTTAAAATTGACAGGGAATATTATTTAATCATTAAACTCAAAATAAATGTAAGTGAAATGTCAAAAATATAATTTTTAGTTGAGTTTAATAATTAACATATTATTTTTTCGCTAATTTTACTTGGTTTAGGTTGAAAATAAATCAAAAATTTATGATTTAAAATTATAAAATTAAAACTTAGGATTTCACGACAATGTGCCAGTTGTTGGGGAAGTTTAATTTCTTAGAATTTTGCTAAGAATGGGGTATGAATACTGAATGATAATCATTACGGATGACATATCATACTAGATGAACCAGTGATGCTTAATCTCAACTATAGTTCATGAATTTACCTTTTCTGTATGCATGGTATGAATACTGAATAATAATCATTTCGGTAACGGATGACATATCATACTAGATGAACCAATGGTGCTTGATCTCAACTATAGTTCATGAATTTACCTTTTCTGTATACAACTTCTCATAAAGTTTGTGTGTTGTGTTTATTAACAGTTGAGATATCAAGATCATTTTGGGTAATTTTTAACATTGATTTGTGAAGAATTATCTAGTTAGAAATGTTAAATGTAAGAATTTTTTAGAAACTTTTATTTAGTGAAAGTGACAGACAGAGCATCCACACTCCCTTCTCTCCTTTAGTGCACAACTTATTTTGTTTTTCCTAGTCTTTGTGTCAACATAACGTGAACCGAAAGCTAAAAAAACAAGGGGAAAAAAAAAAAAACAGGGGGAAAAAAAAGGTAGGTCAGTGTGACAATTATTGTTTGTAGACGATGAGTACTAATAATGCTATATTGGCCTTAACAGAGTGAGGTGGGGATGTGAACATGGTAGGAGGGAAAATTTGAGACCCAATTGTTGAATGGGGAAACTGCTCAAATACACCCAATTGTTGTTGATTCCAAAACCATTGAATTAAGTTAAGATTCCAAAACCAAAATAATAATAGTAAGTATAAAGATAGTAATGCAGCATTATGAATGTGATTACATATTAGCTCAGACTTACCTGGGAACATTTTCAACTCTTTATTTGCACACTTTTTACAAATACATTGGGGTGCAGGTCTTTTCTTTGTAGAAAAACACCACAAAAGGTGCACCCAACAAAGATTCTCACCTCTTTTTGTAATTATTTGCTCCACCTCTCACTGATTTGTAGTTTCTTCATTTTTTTAAAGGTAAATTACACTTACACCCCTGAGGTTTGGGTTTAATACATATCACCCCCTGATGTTTGGAAAATTACACTAACCCCCCTTGTCATTGTAATTATTTAGATGGAATGAAAACATTGAACTCGTGCACTCTCTCTTTTTTTGCTTTACTTTACTTTTTTTTTTTTTCCCCCTTTCCTTTACTTTTTTTTAAATGAAATTTCCTCTATTTTTCTACATGGAGTTGTTACCTTTTATATAAGCAGGGGGGGTTTGTGAAATGAGACTATTAACCACAGGAGTGAGAATGTAATATCTAAAACGTTAGGGGGTAGGTAGTAATTGGACCAAACCTCAAGGGGTGTCAATGTAATTTACCCTTTATTTATTTATTAGGATCTCATTCCCTTGTACAATTAATGAGTTAAACTGTAGCAAAGCTTGCAGTTTCTCATACTCTAACCTTGCTACCTTATTCTAATTAGATATATGATGGTAGGGTGGATTTATGATATATCAACTAAGGACTTTGGCCTAATAGTTATGTAGCACCACTTTGTAGTGTGAGATTGCGGGTTTAAATCCTATGGAGAAAAGTTTGATATCCTTTGATTATTTATTTTTCATTGTGATGGTTATATTGAGTGATTGTTGGGTTTGGTGAATTCTTTCTAGTGATTGTTGGGTTGGGTTAAGTGGTTTCTTGTTGTGATTGTTGAGTTTGTAGATATGCTTTATTAGACTATAATTGTCTAATTTGATGTAATTATTCTCATATTTGTACAGATACGGGGTCATTGCTATGACCCCCCCTGCTATGCCTAATACGGCATAGTTTCACCCTCATTTTTTTTTCTTCATGTTCTCACTATGTTTTTTGGCATGATAAATTACACTTTGTCCTGAATCCTAAACCCTAAAATAAAAAAAAAATTTAAGAATTAAAGTAAAAAAGTGACCAAATATAGGGGCAAAGTGTAATTTATCATGCTAAAAAACATAGTGAGAACATAAGAGGGTGAAACTGTGCCATTTTAGGCACAACAGAGAGCACAGCAGGGGGGTCACAGCAGTGATCCTTATTCTATTTTTACTTAATTTCTTATTGATTGGAAGAAGAAAAAAATTAAGACATCACAAATGCACATGACATCAAACAAGTATATTCGTGGCAATAGTTTCACAAGATGATATATATATATACATATCAAGAAACGTGTAACAACCTAATATTATAGCCTTATATGGCAATTTTTCTAATGTAAATTGGAATCATATGACTTATCATCTCCAAAAAACAAAATGAAAACACAAAATAAAAAATATAATAATAATAACTAAATACAAACCGTACAAAATTAATCAATTTGCAAAAATTTGCTTGAAGAAGTCTCCTTTCTTTACCTTGGTCCAGATAGAGCTAATGGAGACAATAGAGTACAACCAGCATCAGCGGCATCCTCTTGGTGATCAGCATCTGGAATTGTTCTTCATATTACAGGATTTATGAAGTTATAATCCAAGTTGTTTTCAACATCAAAAGAACCCTCCAAGACCTTAACCACCATTGACGTGGAAGGCCTCATGGAAAAATCACTTTGTAGACACCACGCAACAACCCTCATCATCTCCACAACTTCTGTACTATGTAACTGCATTTCATCATTGCCTTTATCAACGATATCAGTCATTCCTCCTCTGCTTTCCTTTTAAATAGACTTAGTAAATGCATATCTTTCTCAGGTTGAGATCCATCTAAATTTTTGCGCCCACACAACATTTCCAAGACCACAACACCAAAGTCATAGACATCTACTTTATCAGTGATAATTGAGTTTAACCATTCGGGAGCCAAATAGCCAGGTGTTTCCTTCATCATTGTTGCAACTTGGCTTTGGTCTCTATTAATTAGTTTTGATAATCCAAAATTAAAAATTTTCGTATTGAAATATTCATCTAAGAGGATGTTTTGGGCTTTGATATCCAAGTGAAATATTTTTTGCCTGCATTTCTCATGGAGATAGGTTAGTCCCTTGGCTATATCCATGATGATCTTCCTTCTGGATTGCCACCCAAGAGTGAGCTCTTGGTGCCTTTGAAAGAACTATGTATCCAACGATTTATTGGACATGTACTCATAAACTAGAAGCCAATATGATTTTTCAACACAAAATCCAAGTAATCTCACCAAATTGAAATGGTGAATGTTGCCTATTGTCTCAACTTCAACTAAGAATGACTTTTTAGCTTGACCAAAACCATTGAGACACTTCACAGCTACTTTGGCGCCATTACTTAATATCCCTTGAAACACTAACCCAAACCCTCCTTCCCTGAGCTTATTATCCAAATTGCTTGTCATGGCTCTCAATTCTTCATAAGAGAGTCTAGGATGCAGCCCTAGTACTTGATCACTAAAGAACTCATCAAGTCCCTCGGATTCTCCTTTGTTTTTGAAAATGAAAATGCAAGCAGCAACCATAAAACATACACCAAAGAAAGCTCCAAGACCATATCCCAATATGACTATAATTTTTGTTGATTTCTTTGGAGGAGAATTTGTTAGTGAAGGAATTGGAGATTTTTGTAGTTTAAGAAATATAATGACTTTATCATCCCCTCCCTTCTTATTTATAAGAGAACAGACTTCAGATAGCAATAAACAACCTTTTTTTGAATAGTCCCAGTCATGTGCAAACAAAGCGGCTTTGCATGAACAATGTTTCAAGCAACTCTTTTTGCAATCCTCTAACTTTGATTTCTCATCAATGTAGTAATTGCTTCTATTTTTTTATTTCATGTTAAAGTAAAAGTAACTAATATTCTTAAGCTTTGAAAGGATGTGATATTGAGAATGGTTGCAAGAAATGGGTGTAACAAGGGAACATCCAAGATTGGATTGCCTAGAATTTATTTGCATGGAAGTGTTGCTGGTGGCGGTTTCCTCAAGACTACCGCATTGTCTGTTTGGTGAACTGATGTCGTAATTGCCGCATGCCATGGGATATCCACAATCACCAATATCTAATGTCAGTACATCTGTCACAACATTTCAATTCAATCCTCCCCACTTATAAGCCATCAAATGCCATCAGGTTCTAACCTGATGAACTGAGCTAACAATGAAACTGCAAGATAAATTTTTTGACTGTTGAAGATTCCAGTTTTGAATCTGGCATCATCCCCAATTAAATAGGATTGAAAATAGACCAAGGGTGGATTGGATTCTACATAACTCACCAGACTGTAATACTGAACTGTAAGAGAATACAAACCTTGAGTCCAGTTAGATGTAAATGTGCTGGTGGTCAAATTCTAGCCATTAACCAATGTTTACCTAACAAGTAAGGAGCCTGTTGGGTGATCAAATGATTTCCAAACCATTGCATTGTTTTGATAAAAGAGGGCCAGGTTTCCATCTTTAGTCAAGTTTAAGCCTGAAATAGAGCACTTTCCTTCTCCTCCTCTAGTGTTTGTAGACTAGATGGAAGTACCATCGGCATCTGCCAAGATCAAGTCTCCATCCTGAGTGAGTTTGAAGGTTGAGGTAAGTTTCACATGATGGTTTGGATTAGCTGACCAAACTACTAGCAGGGGGGAGGGTCATGGATTTCTGTTCGGGGGGCATCTGCTTGGATGAGAACACCAAGGATGCAGGTAATATATGCAAAATCGCAGTAAAAGCTGAGAGAAAAACGCTTTCGAAAGTCTCCTCTTTGAATAAGGATGGGTTTCCATACAAATCTTGAAGCATTCAGGGCTGGTCGAGGTTTATTAATGGTCCATGAACTGGATAGGGTGGCAATTGGATTATCCACAAGGTGGGCATTTACTTTTATTATTAATGCTGTGTTTGGTTAGGGGATTTGGGAAGGAATTTAGAAAAGGAAAGGAAAAATGTGTGAAACTATGTGAAATATAGGTATATTTTATTTACATTTCACCTACCTTTTCTCTTTCTATTTTCAAATTCCTTCTCAAATCCCCTAACCAAATACAGTGTAAGTGTGAGGAATAGATGAGAGACATTAAAATCAGAACAGTGCAACACAAACTCCTCAGTTGATCCATTAATGCATAAAAACACAGAAAGCCAAACAATCTTACTTGGAGCGATCAGATTGAAAAGGCGCTCAAGAGATGAATGGGGACCTCCTTCCATGTGTTGTTGGAACATATATATATATATATATAGGGTTAATTATACCAAGTTTCCCCTCAATTATTTGAATATCACTCTACTCCATAATTTATGAAACTATACATACTAACTCTCCTCAATTATGAAAATTGTGAAAATACGCTCCTTTTGAAGTTGGTCTGAAAGGATGAAAGTGATACATTTTTATAATTGAAAGGGTTAAACTGTATGTTTTTTGTGATGATCCCAACTCGTATACTATTTTTATATATTATTTGTGTGAGTTTAATTGCATGATTATATGTTAATTGATGTGCATATCTATTAATTCATGGAATATCTATTTAATTGCCGACATAGAATTAGAAATTGAAAGCCCAAACGAATTCAGAAACCAAAATTGACTAGGCTAATAGGCTAATTAGAATATTTAGAATCAAATGGTAAGTTTAATTAAAATTTGATTCAGATCAAAATGATTAATTAGCCTTAATCACCCTTGATTAGCTTAACATAAGTAACATGTATAAATATGCCATATAAGCATAGTGAGTTCATATTTATCACTCTTGGCTGAGATTAAGTAAGAAAGAAAGAGAACTCAAACCTTAGAGCCAGAAGGAGACATGTAGAGAATTGGAAGAGGATTGAAGAATTGAGCTAATTGACACTTGAATTCAGGCATTAGGTATGATCTTAACCATAATTCTTGCAAATAATCTAAGTAAGAGTTGAATTCAACAAGTTGTAGGATCATTTACATGTAATTGAGTAGGATAAGCTAGGATTTCCAAGAATTGAATCATTAAGAGCATAATTGAGTACATGCATGCATAAATTTTCATCTTTGAGGTTGAATTTCATCAAAGCTACCACATGCAAAGTTTAGATACATGAACTTGAAGGTTTTTCCATGGTTTCAAGCATTTTAGACCATTTTGTTATGTTTTGAAAAGAAAAGAATCCAATTCAAGACATGCATGGCTTGTAGCTTAAAGTTTTAAGTTTGAATCTAAGAATTGGACCATGATTTTGAGTAATTGGTTTCAAATTGGAAGTGTTTTCATGTTATACACTGTTTTTCCTTGTTTTTGTATCAAGGTTTGAACTTTTGAATCCATGTTTTCAACTTCAAACACAATTTTGGAAATTCCAATATTCGAGCAGTTTGCTTGAGCGATGGAATTGTTGCTCTCAAGCTCCCAGTATTTTTGTAGACAACTACATAATGGCTTAAGCAACCAAGTGTGCACTTGAGCGAACTCTGCTTTTACACTGCACATGGTTCGAGCGACAAATAGTTGGCTCGAGCCTAGATTTCTAGCATTTAGCATTTTTGCAGAGCTTTGCAGATCGCTCGAGCGACCAAAGGTGCGCTCGAGCAAAGACCCTGTTTTCAACAATTTTTGGCTAACTCTTATAAGTGCATACTTGCAGCCTCATATCATTTCAAGTATTCTTAGGCATCAATTAGACACATTTTGCCATGGAATAAACTAGAAACATACAAGAGGAGAATTGAATTAAGATAAAACGGTTAATCGAAATGGTACTTCAATTGTGTGTTTGTTATGTGTTTTGTATAGGTGGACGTCTGGGGCATAGAATCAATCTAACCCACTGTGAGTAGTAACTTTATAAAGATATGTTCAATGTTATATTTATTTTCGAAATTGTTACATGGTTGATTTATTGAAATGTTATTTTCTAGTAATGAATGAAGTTCCTTTTGAATTGTAATTGTGGCATCCTTTAGTGAGGCCCTTGCCTGAGGGAAACAACACCATAACCCATTGGATTAATAGGCCCTTGCCTGGAAGAAACAATATCATGACCCATTGGATAATTGAAACACAGAAATCTCCGATATTAGACCTTGATGGTCACATTGAAATTGTTATATTGATTGACTCGTTGTGGTCCCATTGATTGACCCTAGAGGTCCCATTGTTATTGCTACTCTATTGGATGTACCATGTAAATTGATTGAATTGTTATTGCTATTGAGATACATCTAATTCATTGGTTAAGTGAAATGTTGATCAAAGAAATGAAAATTATGTTTTGAATTTTATTGAACTTCATTCATTTAACTCCTTTATATTGTTATTACTCACCAGGCCCTAGCTCACTATTTATATGTATGTATTATTGGAATTATGGTTTTATAGGCTTCTTTTGGGCTAACTTTGAGCCCAAATTTGAGTAGGGCCCACACATCTTTTGGGGTGGGTCCATAGAGGTGACGTATTCCTTGTTGCATGGCAAGTCACATGGTGCAAACGGTTCGTCAAAACCATTTATGAGTGAATGGGAAGTTGATGTCGTTTTCGAGTTCGTAGAATGGACAATTTAAGAAGTAAAATATGGGTTTCCTTGAAATGGTTGCCCCACATTGAAACTTAAAGAGAACTTATGTGCGTATATAAATTCTAGGTAGGAATACTTGGGTTGGGAACTAAAGGGAACCCCAAGTTTGTAGAAGAGAGGAGTTATGGACAAAGTGAGCCTTAGCTCAAACTACCACACACACGCGCCGTCGTTTGTCCGGGTGCAGATTGTGGGTTGGGTCCTAATATTAATTTTTTGGACAAAATTTATTTGAATTTTTTCAAATTCTTGAGGGAAAATTATTTGAATTTCTAAAACGAAATTAATTTATTTTGCGCCAAATTTTTATGTCCAAACAATGCCCTTTTTCAGTTCATTTTTTCAGTAGGTTCAAACAGGTTAAACCAGACAAATATAATTCCTGCAGATTCAAATAGTTCGCACATGTTTTGTTTTTTTTTTTAGACCTGTTCGGTTCAAATTGTATCTATTCAGGTTGATTGCACCTGTTCAATTCAAAATCATATCTATCCGAACAGGCACCACTTGCTTATAAATACTGGATCATTCCAATAGTGTTCTTGATCTAAAAAAATCTGTTTCCTTCCAATTTTTGCTCTCTCTATACATTATTCTTCATACTAGTTTTTTAGAGAACATGTTCTAGTTCGCCGAAACAGATTGTTTTTACTGCTAATACAATCTGTGTTAGATCATTGTATCCTGGGAGACAGAGGCCATTTTTCCATAAGCACCTGAATGGGGCGAATCTGTCTTAAGGATAGAGTGTCACACTTGGCTTGATCTTTTTGTACTTCTTCATCTCGGTAAATAAATTTTGTAAGTAAATTATTTTTATTTGTTTCAATTGGTTTCACATTATTTATTTTACATAGAAGATTGTTCCAATATATATATATATATATGTAGGTGAACAAGCTGAGCATCAAGTCTAGTGGAAGCCTCGGAGTCAACCTTGTGTAAGCTATTTTAAAGTACTTCTGAAATGAAGCGAGCTTGGGTTTGAGTGGAGCCAAGCATGTGTTAGGGAAAATATATGATTTCCCACATGTAAATCAATTAATGGGAATAAAAACTAATGTGGACAAATTAAATCAAAAGCAACACAAGAAATTTACGTGGTTCCCTCAATGTGAGGTACGTCTACGGGATCGAAAACCGATTCCACTATCAACCAAAAAGTTTCCAAACGATTACAAACGAGGCACGAATGGTCTCACATAATTACAAATAAACAAGAGGAAAAGACCTCACCAAATAGATAAACAAACGCCTTCAAAACAGAATTGC